ATCTTTTCTTATGTTTCTTTACGTTCATGGATAGAGAATGATGATTCGCAAATATTACATCTTTGATAAGTTACAAAACTCTTGTAAATTTTGCAACATTACTTCTTATATTCACCACATAAAATGTAAGAATGTGGTATGAGAAGATGAAATAAACATTGTGCTAAGCTTGATAGGGAAACTAGACTTGGTGTTGGAGCTAGCCTTGTGCATGACTAGTCATGAACTATAGCATGATGATAACGAAGATGAAGGTGGAGCCAAGGATGATGAATGGGCACCATGAAGCTTGTGGATGCCATGAGTATGGAACTTTTGTAGAGAAAATAGAGATACATGTTAGAGATTTGGGGTCTCTAATGCCCATGAGAATGAGATGATAGTGGATTTGTGCTGAGCTTGTGTAGATTTGAAGGTGTTTGGAATGGATTCTTGGATTGAAAAATGGGAGAATTTTAGAGAGAGATGCTTTAAAGGAAGAAGAGGAATTGTAAAGAGAGAAGTAAGTTTGGGAAAATGGGGAATTTGTTGTGGAAGAAGAAAGAAGAAGACTATTTATATAACAATAGCATTTTCATAACAAAGATGATTAGTGCACCCTCTTATTCAACACACCTTCTAACACTTATCTAGTTTAGCTATTAAAATATAATATAAGTATAATTGATTCAGTTGATTCTTGCATTCTGTTTGCATGGTTGCATCTCTAAGTCTGTCTGCCTTTAATTTCAAACTAGAAAATAATAATTTTTTAATGAGTGTATTGTATAGTGTGTTAAATCAAAAAGTGTACCAATCAATGTCCTTTTCATAATTAGTGGGAAAATGCCTTTGGGTGGGTTTTATGTAATGTAATGGTGGAGAAGGTTTGGTTAAGACAATTGTCAAGTTTTGGGTGGATTTGGGTCACTTGATAGGCTTTGATGTGTCATCATGATTTCCATGGAGTTTTTAGTGAAAGATCGATGGTCGAATGTAGCCATACTAGAATTTAGCAAATTTAGGCTTGTTTGCATTACTTATTTTGGTAACAAACTTAAATGCTATCGTCAATTTTCCTTTTGTCCAACACTTTGTTGATTTTCCAAACAAGTTATGATCTTTTCACCAATTATTGATTCTAGGAAGCATGTGCAACCATCTAAGCATTGAATATGCCTTAGCCATTGCGAAAACATCTATGACAACTTGTACCAGCTTCTAATTTCATTTATTGGTTGAATTACTTCTCAAATTGGGATCCATCTAGCTCGTTTAGCTAAGTTTCCCTTGCTTAGCTTCCTTATCCTTTCCAATGAAGATGGACAGCTTAACTTGGCCTTAAGCTTGGCTAGATGAATATTGCACCTCGATAGGTTGATGATGTTTATTCCTTCATGCCTACCAAACTACAACTCCCACAATCTTTCCAAAGATATCTCACAGGCTTGGGTCCACGGATTCATTGATGACTTGCATAGTGATCAATTAATGAAATTGACATAATTTGGTAAATAAGAAGATAATAAAGGAAGGAGATTTCCTCATAAATGTCGAACGATATATCCATGAATTGTAGCATTGGATATAGCTAGGCTTTTTGCCCAATGCATGTTGGAGTCACCAATTCTTTTTCTCCAAAATGTCTTGTTGTTGATCTTTGCCATAGCTGGTAGCGTTCAAGCCATAAGTGTCTAGTGATGTCCACACTAGTGTGTTCTAACTGTGTTTGAGCTAAGTGTGGTCTAGCCATGTTGAGTGTGTGTGTGCTGGTCTTGGCGATGTGATGATGTAAAAGATGCTAAGTTTAACTCTTTTTAGCAATATGTTCCATGCTAAGTATAAGTCAAGGGCTTGCTAACTTTAACAGTGTAAGGCATGTTGAGCTCACTCCATCGTTAGCAATGTAATGAAGGTAATGATGACCAACTTCAATAAAGCCAAAATAGTATGGCTTGACACTTAGATTGTCACACCCCAAAACCGTGAGCGAAACAAATGTCGTACACTTGTGAGAGGGTCCCATAAATGCACAAGGCTCGGAACCTGCTTAATTCATATTTGACAATCCACTAAATTAAGATCCACCACCTCATAATAAAATCTAACTTGATAACCAATGTTTGACTAGGTCAAGAGTGTACAAAAATTACACAACTCCATTAATAAAGTCATAACTATCTCAAGGGGATTTAGTTTACAAAAGAATAAACTATCTTCCACCATCTATGTCCAAAAATATATGTGACTAGTGGCTTAACTCCATAATAATCTAAATCCAAAATACAAATGGCTAGCCTCTTAGCTCATCACTCCCCTTGGTTTCCCATGTCTCAAGTCTTACTAACTGAAATGGTGGACAAGGAAAAACTATGTGAGATAACTCAATAAGTAAAAATATGGATAGCACTCATTGAAATTTTAAAGCATGCTAAATAAACATTTTAAATTTTAAACATGAAGGAAATCTCAGTTGTAAATCATTTATGCATACTGAAATTTATTTAGTAATCCCCTTAATTAGTCATGGCCAGTGTACTTTCCCAACTAGCTAGATAATAGAAATACCAGAAATACCAGTGTACACTACCACTAGCAAGATAACAAAAATACTAGTGTACTCTCCCACTGGCTGGATGAACCAGTCCTACAGAAATACATGTGGATATGTGCCAGCGTTTATAACTCTCACTAGTAGCATAATATAATTCATGACCATATTGGAGACAAAACCATGCAAGAGTTAATAGGAAAATTTATAATTCACAAACCAATTTCAGATCATCAAAACAATCAAGTAAATTCCATGTAGGCATGCTTAACTTAATAAAATAATAACTTGATTTCAAACCAATCATGCTCGTGCTAATGAAAATCGGGTTGAGTCTCACCACCATCTCAAAAATAGTTCAAATATATTTTTAAAACCTTTACCTTAAAAAAAATCCAAGGGCATTTACCATCATTTTACTTACCTCCCCTTGTCGTTATACAATAAGAAAGAATTTAGTTCTCAAGGCGGTGGAGGTGATCTAGAACCTATACCACATCAAAGTACAAACAAGATTACAACCTATCCCAGTTAGCTAAATCGGTTTCTAATTTTAGTATCAAGTTTCTAACCAAAGAAACAATTTCTTCCTTCACATACTTACTATTTCTACCCATTGAAACCTTATTAACATATTAATTTGTTCAACCATACTTAGAATATACTTAAAACAGCTCCAAAAATCACATGAAACTGTAGGTATCTCTGGGCAAAAACAACAAAATTTTCATGGTAAAATAGTAGCAATTTATGGGCGAATATAGCAAAATTTTTTGGGGAAAACAATAGAAGTTTCTAGGCAGAATAATAACAATTTATAAGCAAAAACAACATAATTTTCTGGGTAAAATAACAAAATTTTCTAGGTAATATAACAAAAGTTTCTAGGCAAAATAGTAGCAATTTATGGCAAAAAACAATAGAATTTTCTAGGTAAAACAACAAAGTTTTCTAGGTAAAGATAGTAGAAATTTATGGGCAAGAATAGAAAATTTTTTTGAGTAAAACATTAGAAGTTTTTGGGCAAAACAACTACAATTTATGGGCAAAATGGATAGCCATCAAGCAAAAAATGCAGTAGCAAAAGTAGCCAAGACAATGGGAATTTTCAGGATAAAACAGTATGATTTAAGTGTGAAAACTACAGCAAATCGAGCATGACAAACAAGAATTCATAAGGTAATCAAGCCACTCATGACAATCAAGTCATTACCAAGAAAATTCTATAGCCAGAGTGAAGTGGGACAATTAATCTATACTAACAGTTGCAACAAGCATTAAATAGTGCAGCAAACTTAGAAGCAAGAAAAAGCACACACAAATTCCAAAGTCACTTAGAATAACACTGTCATAATCTTACAAGAAAATAATGAACAAGCACACATAAGATCCTACAGAATTTCCAATCTCAATCTTTCACATAATCTTCTTGAAAACCTCCTTATTGGTAGAATTCCTCAACCATAATAGTAAAAAGGGATGAGTGCTAATCAGTTTCCAAGCGAAAGTTTTAGCCCGTCGACTCTAGACACTTCAAGTGAAACAAGGGTGGTTGGAAATTTTCCAACGTAACAGTCAGTATACACACTATTTCTACTGGAATTAAGGGAAGGATAGACCTAGAAGCTGTTGAAGACGATGTGCAGCTGCTATGAGATGGAGACAACGGTTTGTGCCTTAGGGAGTGGGGAAATGTGGAAGAGAAAGGTTCGGAGGGGTGAGATTGATGATGAAAGATGCCGAAGAGTAGAAATTGGTGATGGAAATTAGAGAATGGTCATGTGACTGTTAAATCTAGGATTCCCAAAAGGAGAAGGATCGGGAGCTTATACTCTTCCCCCCCTTCCCATTTTTTGTTACAGCTTCACCCCTTTAGGTTTTTAAATTTGGTCATCAGGCCCAACAAATGATAATTTCTCCCACATAAGTCCTTAACTTACATTTTAATGTTTTAGAATTTTGGGATATTACATCCACCCCTCCTAAAAAGGAGTTTGGTCCCATAAACTTGTACCTCAATCTTGGAAGAGGTGTGGATGTTCCTACCTCATCTTGGATTCCAACTCTCAAGTGGCTTCTTCAACTAAGTGGTTATCCCAAATAACCTTAACAAAAACGATTAGTCCTTCTCCGCATTGTTCTCTCCTTGAAATCTAAAATACGAATCGGCTGCACGTCATAAGTTAGATCATCTCAAAGTTGAATGGGTTTAGGATTGATGATGTGGCTTGGGTTGGGAACATATTTTCAAAGTAAGGACACATGAAACACATCATGAACACCTATTAAATTTCTAGGCAACTCCAATCTATAAGCTACTTCGCCAACCTTTTCTAGGATAAGATATGGTCCAATATACCTTGGACTCAATTTCCCTTGAATGCCAAACCTAAGAACACCTCGAGTGGGTGACACCCACAAAAATACATACTCACCAACTTCAAGCTCAAGGTCATGCCTCCTTCTATTTGCATAACTTTTCTATTTACTCTGCGCAGCATTGAGATGTTCCTTCATCAATTGCATAATCTCAGAAGACTATTGCACCAATTTTGGGTCTAGAATGTTTTTCTCACCCACCTTCGTCTAGCAGATAGGTGATCTACACCTTTAGCCATACAAAGCCTCAAATAGTGCCATATGGATGTTGGACTGGTAGCTATTATTATATGCAAATTTAGCGATAGATAAGTGTTGATCCCATGAACCCTTCCAATCAAGAACAGAAGCCCTCAACATGTTCTCAAGTATTTGGATAGTCCTCTTAACCTGCTCGTCAGTTTGAGGATGAAAAGCAATGTTGAAATTTAAATGAGTGCCAAGTGCTTGTTGCAAGCTTGTCCAAAAATGAGACAAGAATCTCGTGTCTCTATCAGATACAATGGACATAGGGACTCCATGAAGTCTGACTATCTCATTCACGTACATATTAGCAAGCTTCTTAATGGATGTGCTGATTCAATAGGGTAAAAAGTGAGCTAACTTGGTCAACTGATCAATGATGACCCATATTAAACCATTTCCTTTTAAGTTTTGCGATAAACCTATCACAATCCATGGTAATGTTCTCCCACTTCCATTGGGGAATAGGAAAAGGTTGCAGTTTCTCAAGAAGTCTTTGGTGTTTAGCCTTAACTTTTTGACAAGTTAGGCATTATGAGACGAATCTAGCTATCTCCCTCTTCATGTTTTGCCACCAAAATATACTATGCAAGTCACGATACATCTTCATGCTACCTAGGTGAACTGTGTAGCTAGTATTATGGGCATCCTCCATGATCTCACGCCTTAAGGCATGATCTCTTGGCACACACAACCTGTTACCAAACCACAAGGTCTCACTATTAGAAACTCTAAATTCTTGCATGTGGGGTTCCTTTGCCTTGACCTTTTCTTTCAACCTTTGCAAGAAGGGATCTTTTTGCTGGGCAAGTTTGATTCTATCTATTAATGCTGGTTGTGCACTAAGAGTGGCTAGATAGGCTTTAATAATGTCCAATCTCAACTCCACATCAAGTTTAACAAGATCCTCAAGTAACACCTTTTGGGTGGCAAAATGCCAGAGGCAATGCCAAAGGACTTTCTATTCAACATATCTGCTACTTTGTTAGCTTTGCTTTGATGGTAACTAATGGTCAAGTCATAAATCTTCAGAAATTGAAGTCATCGCCTCTGCCTCATGTTTAGTTCTTTTTGAGTGAAAATGTACTTAAGACTCTTGTGATCAGTGACAATTTCAAAAGTTTCTTTGTATAGATATGCCTCCAGATCTTGAGTGCAAATATCACAACTGCTAACTCCATATCATAGATAGGGTAATTTTCTTCATAAGGCTTTAACTACCGTGAAGCATATGCAATAACCCGATCTTTCTACATCAAGACACATCCTAGACCCTTTTTAGAGGTGTCACAATATATAGTGAATCCTTCCTCATTGATGTTTAGTGCAAGTATAGGATCAGTGACTAACTTTTCCTTAAGGGTCAGAAAGCTCTTCCTACACTCTAGAGTCCACTCAAATTTGGTGTCTTTCCTAACAAGATAAGTCATTGGTAGAGCAATTCTAGAAAAATTCTCTGCAAATCGGCGGTAATAACCATCCAATCTTAGAAAGCTACGGATTTCTACAACACTATTCTACCTTTTCCAATCAACTACGACCTCAATCTTTTTCGGGTCAATAGAAATTCCATCCTTACTCACAACGTGACCTAAGAATGCAACACTATCTACCCAAAATTCACACTTCTTAAATTTAGCAAACAACCTTTCTCTTCTCAATGTCTCAAGAACTGTCCTTAAGTGTTCTTCATGAAGAGCATGGCTAGAAGAGTAGATTAAAATGTCATCAATGAAGACAACCACAAACTTGTCCAAGTACTTGCTGAATACTCGATTCATCAAATCTATAAATCCTATAGGAGCATTTGTTAAGCCAAAAGGCATAACTAGCAATTCATAGTGGACATAGCAAGTACGGAAGGCAATCTTTGGGACATCATCTGGCTTAATCTTCAACTGGTGGTAGCCAGATCGAAGATCAATCTTAGAAAATACTTGAGCACCCTTGAGCTGATCAAACAAGTCATCAATTCTAGGAAGCGGATATCGATTCTTCATAGTCACCTTATTCAGCTCTTGGTAATCAATGTACAATGTCATGCTCTCATCCTTCTTCTTAACAAACAACACTAGAGCTCCCCAAGGTGACACACTAGGTCATATGAACCCTTTTTCAAGGAGCTCCTCAAGTTGGACCTTTAACTCCTTCAATTCTACAGGAGCTATGCGGTATAAGGCTTTGGAAATAGGTTTAATGCCAGGAACAAGATCAATAGCAAATTCGATCTCCTTATCTGGAGAAAAACCTAGGAGATCCTCTAGAAATACATCCAAAAACTCACACACCACAGGTATATCTTCTAGTCTCGATGTCACACTACTAGCACCAGTGACAGAAACCAGGAAGCCTTGGCACCCATTTATAAGATATTTTTGAGCTTGCAAGGCAGATATTAGCATAGGTGGAGAAAAAGAACCATTGCCTTGGAAACTAAATTTTGGCTTACTAGGAATATTGAAAACAACCCATTTTTTATGGCAATCTATGGAGGCAAAATATTTCGACAACCATTTCATCCCTAGAATGATGTCAAAATTAGAGATATCTAAAATAAATAGGTCAGCACTTAAATGCCTACCATCAATGAAAATATTTACAGCTCTACGCACATCTCTAGTAGTTATCACCCCTCTTAAAGGGGTGTCTACATGCATCTCAAAATCAGTGATATCAATAGGTAAAGCTTGTTTCCAATCATAAGATAAGCAATAAAGGAATGTTATGCACTCGAATCAAATAAAACATATGCATAATCAGAATTGACAGGCCAAGTACCCATGATTACGCCTATAGTTGCAACTTCCTTATGAGTGATCATGTGAACTCTCACCTGCTAGGCTCTTGTCTTAACCTTGACATTCTGTTTCTACACCCCCTGATTAGTAGAACCTTGTTGAGATGTAGTTTGAGTACTTTGAGCTCTAGGGTCTAGCTACGGGCAATTTTCAATCTAATGTCCATGCTTGCCACATCTGAAGCAAGCCCTAGTAATAGCATGACACTGGTCATGAGTGTGCTTAACTTTCCCACAATTGGGGGAAATGAGCTGAGTAGAATGATTATGTTGAGCTACTGATGCCTAGCCCTTAGTTTTACTAGCTCCTAGCTTTTTGGAAATTTTGTTGGTCTTAGACTTATGCGATGTTGGGGCAATGGGTCCGTGATCTCTATTAAATTTCTTCTTCATAAATGATGGCCTAACTTTTTGCTACTCTGATGTCTTGACTCTAGCCATAGCCTTCTTCTCTATCCGTTACCTCTTTATAAGTAGCAAGCTTGAATTGATTCATAGCCAAATAGACATCAGGATTCAAGTCTCATAAGAATTTATTAGCCTTGGCCTGCTCATCATTGACCTGATTACCCACAAAGGGCAAATGACGGTCAAACTCCTTGTACTGCTCAATAGTACATGACATTTGCTTTAAATCATCAAATTCCCTTTGTAGGTCATGCCTTTTGTTATCAGGTATGTGTTATTCCATGAACAGCTTTTTAAAACCATCCCAAGTGCTCAATTCAGGTTCTCCTTGGTGTAGCTTCAAGTAATTTTCCCATCAAGTTAATGCTTCACCCGTAAGCATATAATTGCCCACATCGACCTTGAGGTCATCAGATATTTTTAGTAGGCAGAATCCCCTTTCCACCTCGATAATCCATGATTCAACCTACTCAAAACCTATTGTACCATCAAATCTCTTAGTTACCACCTTCTGGAATTCTATATAGATCTTCTAGCTAGGTACAACAAGAATAGAAAAAATAGGAACAGGAGCCGTAGGAGTTGAAACCATGAGGGATGGAGGTGGCATGCTACTGGTAGAAGATGCTTGGTGTCTCATCTTTGCCATGAATTCCTAAACAAATGTGGCCATCTGAAGGTTATTCGCCCTTCCCTCCTAAGTAGTTGCCTGGGCAAAGGGGCTAGCGGTTGGATTGGAAGAGTGCTATTATCTTCTCAGCTACCCCTCACACCTCTACAGCGTTTTGGAGCCATCTATAAGCACATAGAAGGTTGATAGACAGTTATTCAAGTATCTTGAATAAGAAAATACAAGGCAATTCCCCATATCTGAAACCAAGTAACATAATCATCAACAAATGTAATACACAATCAAGAGACCGGAACTTTCAACCCAATATTTAGGAATAATTATTCTAACTTGTCATAACACTGAATAGAACTTAAGGAACACACCATCCATAAGTCAAAATCAAGTAACAAGTCTCAATAATAACAATAAAAGTTTTTTATATATATGAGGAACATCATGATCCAAGAGTAAGGAAAATTTTGACAAGTTAAGAGTTCATCCAAGCATCCCTATTCCCACTCTCTTGCCTCACCACATTCCTATAGTTCATTTGCTAGCCAAGTTTTAAACTAGTCTTAGGCCTTTAATTAAACCCAGGCTTTGATACCACAAAATTGGTCACGCCTGAAAACCGTGAGCGAAGCAAATGTTGTACACTTGTGAGAGGGTCCCATAAATGCACAAGGCTTGGAACCTACTTAATTCATATTTGGCAATTCACTAAATTAAGATCCACCACCTCATAATAAAATCTAGCTTGATAACCAATGTTTGACTAGGTCAAGAGTGTACAAAAATTACACAACTCCATTAATAAAGTCATAACTATCTCAAGGTCTAGTCTACAAAAGAATGAGCTATCTTCCACCATCTATGTCCAAAAATATATGTGACTAGCTGCCTAACTCTACAATGATCTAAATCCAAAATACGAATGGCTAGCCTCCTAGCTCATCACTCCCCTTGTTTCCCACATCTCGGGTCTCACTACCTGAAATGGTGGACAGGAAAAAACTACATGAGATAACTCAGTAAGTCAAATTATGGATAGCCCTCATTGAAATCTTAAAGCATGCCAAATAAACATTTTAAATTTTAAACAAGAAGGAAATCTAAGTTGTAAATCATTTATGCATACTAAAATTTATTTAGTAGTCCCCTCAATTAGTCATGGCCAGTGTACTCTCCCAACTGGCTAGATAACAGAAATACCAGTGCACTCTTCCATTGGTAGGATAACAGAAATACCAGTTTACTTTCCCACTAGCTAGATGAATCAGTCCTATAGAATTACATGTCGACATGTGCTAACATTTATAACTTTCATTGATAGGATAATAGAATTTATGATCATATTGGAGACAAAACCATGCAACAGTTAATAGGAAAATTCATAATTTACAAACCAATTTTAGATCATCAAAACAATCAAGTAAATTCCATGTAGGCATGCTCAACTCAATAAAATAATAAAAACTTGATTTCAAACCAATCATGCTTGTGCTAATGAAAATCCGGTTAAGTTCCGCCACCATCTGAAAAGTAGTTCAAATATATTTTTAAAACCTTTACCTTAAAGAAAATCCAAGAGCATTTACCATAATTTTATTTATCTTCCTTTGTCGCTATACAATAAGCAAGAATTCAATTCTTAAGGCGTTGGAGGTGATCTAGAACGTATACCACATCAAAGTACAAACAGGATTACAACCTACCTCAGTTAGCTAAATTGATTTCTAATTCCAGTATTAAGTTTCTAACCAAAGAAACAATTTCTTTCTACACATACTATTTCTACCCATTGAAACCTTATTAACATATTAATTTGTTTAACCATACTTAGAGTATGCTTAAAACAGCTCCAAAAGTCACATGCAATACCAAGTATCTCCAGGTAAAAATAGCAGAATTTTTTGGGTAAAATAGCACCAATTATGGACAAAGACAACAAATTTTTTTGTGTAAAATAGCAGGAGTTTCTAGGCAAAACAGTGGCAATTTATGGACAAAAATAGTAGAATTTTCTAGGTAAAACAACAAAAATTTCTAGGTAAAATAGCAACAATTTATGGGCAAAAACAATAGAATTTTCTAGGTAAAAATAGCAAAAATTTATGGGCAAGAACAACAAAATTTTTTGGGTAAAATAGTAGAAGTTTCTATGCAAAACAATAACAATTTATGGGCAAAATGGACAGCATTCAAGCAAAAAATGCAACAGCAAAAGCAACCAAGACAATAGGAATTTTCAAGACAAAATAGTATGATTTAAGTGTGAAAACTACAACAAAGTGAGCATGACAAACAAGAATTCACAAGGTAATCAAGCCATTCACAACAATCAAGTCATTCCCAAGAAAATTTTATAGCTAGAATGAAGTGGGACAATTAATCTATACTAACAGCCAAAACAAGCATCAAATAGTGCAGCAAATAGAAGCAAGAAAAAGCACATACAAATTCCAAAATCACTTAGAATAACACTGTTATAATCTTACAAGGAAATAATGAATAAACACACATAAGATTCTACGGAATTTCCAATCTCAATCTTTCACATAGCCTTCCCAAAAACCTCCCTCTTGGTAGAATTACTCAACCATAACAATAAAAAGGGATGAGTGCTAACCGATTTCCAAGCGAAAGTTTTAGCATGTCAACCCCAGGCACTTCGAGTGAAACAAGGGTGGCTGGAAATTTCCCAAATTAATAGTCAATATTCACACTATTTCTACTGGAATTAAGAGAAGGAAATAATTTACTGCTCAATCTTACCAAAATGCTAGCAAGGGGTTGTGGGTCTTCCTGGAAATGAAGACCTGAGTTGCGAAGACAGTAGGAAATTGAGGAGGCCGGCGATTGCTAGCAGAAAGGATAGACCTAGGAGTTGTTGAAGATGATGCGCAGCTGTTGTGAGGTGGAGACAATGGTCTACGACTTAGGAAGTGGGGAAATGCGGAAGAGAATGGTTTAGAGGGGTGAGATTGGTGATGAAAGATGACGAAGAGCAGAAATTGGTGATGGAAATTAGAGAATGGTCATGGTGGCTGTTAAATCAAGGGTTCCCAAGAGGAGACAGATCGGGGGCTTATACTCCTTTCCCTTTTTTTTTTTCTTTTTTTTTTTTGTGTGGCTTCCTCCCTTAGGTTTTTAAATTTGGTCATTAGGCCCAACAAATGATAATTTCTCTCACATAAGTCCTTAACTTAAATTTTAATGTTTTAGAAATTTTGGGATATTACATAGATCGAGGGTAATCTTAATGACATGGACATTACTCGAATCCAAGTTTGCCCCTTTATAAAAGGGACCATCAATAATATTTTATGTGAGATAAAAATTTTTTTCCTAATTAATTGAACCTTATGATTATTAACTTTAATTGTTCATTCTATCATAAATTTTTTTTATTAATTGTATTTCTTTTTTTTACATGTAAAATTGATAGAAATAGAAATTGTTCTTAAATCTTTAATTTAAAGATAAAATGGTAAAAAAAAAGTCTATTATTTTAGAATAAAGAGAGTTATAGTAGAATCAAGTGCATTAATTAGTATAATTTCTTGGTCAAGAACAAAATGAATGACCGGTGGAATCGTTGAAGTGGTGGGTGCACATGTCGTTTGGAATCCAATTAAGAAATAAACTTAGGTTTTCACTACAATTTTTTATGGAGTCTAAGTAATCAATTGTAGTAATTCGAAAGTGTTGGGAAAGAGGCCCAACACCCATAATGGGCTTAGCTTAGTAGGCCCACTTACATTTACCGGCTACGTAAGTTGAATCTAAACATGTATCCACTCATGCGGATGTTGACACTTGGAATAACTGGATGCTTGCTTGTGGCACATCCTATCATTAATGGAGGCTATAAATACCCCATTTACCCCCATGTAAGGGCATTAACTCTACTACACTTCTCTCTCTATTATTACTCTTCCTATGAGCTTTTCACTCTAAGAGTAGAATATTCTTGACTTGGGTGTTGGAGTATCTTCCACAGGAAACATCCTCGGGTATTTCAGGTGTTGCAGCCGCTGAAGATCCATACAGTAGAAGTTTGGGGAGCCGCCCAAACAGAAAGGGTTCTTGCATGTGGTCTCATGTGTCAACAGATTGTGGTCAAACCCACTTAAATTTCATGCCATAATCCCCATCCTTTGCCCATCTTCACGTTCTCCTTTCCTCCTGCCATCTTGGTCATGTTCTCTAAGATACCTAAATATTCTTCCTATTTTTTTAATCTATTGCAGTTATTATAGTTATAAGTTAGGTAGACCATGATATTTAAATTCTCAAACGACTCTATAGTCAATACTATAAATAAGTCATTCTCTTTGAGAGGTGCAGTAGTCACCCGAGACTCACTATTGCAGGAATGAGATTTTCGAACCGAAATATCGGTCCGGATATATAGGAAATCGGTCTGAATATATATATACGGACCGATATTGGTCCTTCTAGTTGATCTGAAAAAACCTGGTACGAATAAGTGTAATATACAGACCAACATATAATCGGTTCGTATATATATACTATCCGGACCGAAATCGGTCTGGATATTTCAGTAAGAAATATAAATAATTATTGAGAAATTGAAATAAGCAGACCGAAATTTGTCCCAAAAAAATAATATAATAAAATAATAAAATATATACGAACCGACAACGGTCTGTAACTGTGGCGGGAAGAGGCATCGCAAACATATATGGACCGGGATCAGTCCGAATATTAAGGACCCAGCTGCAACTTTTAAAACTTGCAACTATATCCAGACCGTTTTCGGTCTGGATATATTGGACTTGCCTGCAACTTTTAAAAGTTCCGTATCCCGACGGGCGCCATTCTCAAACTATATGCAGACCGTTTTCGGTCCGAATATTGTGGACTTGCTTATAACTTTTAAAAGTTCCGTCTCCCAACCGGCGCCATTCTCAAACTATATCCAGACCGTTTTCGGTCTGAATATTTTGGACTTGCTTGTAACTTTTAAAAGTTTCGTCTCCCAACCGGCGCCATTCTGAAACTATATCCAGACCGTTTTCGGTCCGAATATTTTGAACTTGCTTGTAACTTTTAAAAGTTCCGTCTCCCAACAGGCGTCATTCTATAAATATATCCAGACCATTTTCGGTCCGAAAATATCTTTGAAGAAAAAAAAAATAAAAACAGTAAAAAATAAAGAAAACAGATTTATTTTATTTAATAATT